ATTACATGAAAATAGTTTTCTTCACCTTTGCTTCTTTTGCAGGTCCCTTTACGTTTATGTCCCTCTTATTCTTCTTCCTTTTATCAGTGGGATGAATTGCTTCCTGTGGGATTCTCTGCCACAGAAAGGAGTTGAAGTCAAAACATTGAATGTTTTCAAACAGGAGTTAGATCTGGTGTGAGATGGGGAGAAAGTGCGAACAGTATTGAATGGTGGAACAAGCTCAAAGGACCAAATGGCCTCATTCTGCTTCTACTTTCTGTGTTTCTGTGTTTCTGTCTATTCAATCCAACCCATTCATGGTCTTGAAAACCTCTATCAAATTCCCTCTTAGCTTTCTTAGTTCCAAAGAGAACAATCCCAACTTCTTCAGTCTATCCTCATCGCTGAAGTTTCAGTCTGTAATCGCTAACAGTCATTGAGTGTCATTGGGAACCATCATTGAGCCTTTTCACTCGCTTGCCTTCATTGCTCAGATCTTTGAGTGTAGGTGTTGGGATGTTATGTTGCAGTTGTACATGACATTGGTGAGGGCTCTTCTGGAATACCGTGTCCAGTTCTGGTTGCCCTGTTATAGGAAGGATTTTATTAAGCTGGAGAGAGTTCAGAAGAGATTTACCAGGATGTTTCTGGGAATGGAGGGTTTGAGTAAATAAGGAGAGGCTGGATAGGCTTTGACTTTTTTCACTGAAGCGTAGGAGGTTGAGAGGTGACCTTATAGAGGTTTATAAAATCATGAGGGGTCTAGATAAGGTGACTAGCAGGTGTCTTTTCCCTGGAGTGGGGGATTTCAAAACTAGGGGGCTTTTTTTTATGGTGAGAGGAGAAAGATTTAAAAAGGACATGAGGAACAATTTTTTTTACACAGGGTGGTTTGTGTGTGGAATGAGCTTCCTGAGGAAGTGGTGGATACAGGTATAGTTACAAAATTTAAGAGACATTTGGATAAGAAAACGAATAGGAAAGGTTTGGAGGGATATGGGCCAGGTGCAGATAGGTGGGACTAGTTTAGTTTGGAGTTACGTTCGGCATGGACTTATTGGACCGAAGGGTCTGTTTCCATATTGTACGACTCCATGGCTCTATGACTGTTGCTAGGAACAGTCCCTCAGACCATGGCCTGGCGTGTCACAGGACACAGACCCATTCTAAAGTGAAACTCCAACCCAGCACCAAACAGTCAGTGTAAGGCTGACAAAGCAATCGTCTCACAAAATCCGAGGTTCTGACTGCATTAATCGAGAATGACAGGACCTGCAGTCTAGAGTGCAGTAGTAAGTGGGATAATGATGTTTGCTGTCTTTTATAATCAGTGAGATAATGTTCCAGCAGTGTTTAGAACATCGTCACTAATGGATGCACATCAGAAATATTTCATAAAAAGCTCCATTAATAATCTCCTACATGTTTTAATGGTTTCTATATTCAAAGTGTATATTCATTAGTGACTGCCTGCTCAACACAGCAATCAACATTTTATAGCTCTCTGGCTAATAATTCTGTTGTCCAACCCGCCCAGGTTAGTTTCTGCTTTTCTCTTGTTCATCACCACATCCTATCACTTTTTTTTCCTCTGGGTGAAGGTGACATGGGTATGGGAAAAGCAAAATACACAGATCTCTACAAAAAAAAAGACTTTCATTAATAATGCTCCTTTCATAACCTTAACATGTCCCAAAGTGCTTTCTAGCCCATGCAGCAATTTGTGGAGGAATCATGGCAGCCACTTTGTACACAGCACCTTCCCACAAACAGCACTGTCAAAATGAACAGATAATCAGTTTTTATTTTAGATAACTATTGGCCAGGACACGAGGGAGAACAGGCTACAAAATCAGATTTAAAACAAGTACTTACAGCTTCATTCCTGCTCAATCATTGAGCAGTTTATTGGGAGCTGGAAAACCAGACATGAGCTCAGAGTGAGAACAAGATCCATCAACAAATGACCAAGGTGTTTCTACAGGGAGTGAATGAATGCAGTGTGTAGGGGAGGAGAGAGAGAGCAACAGATAGCAAAAGCTACAGAGAGAAAGGCAGAGAAACAGGCAGACACATACAGAAACACATGCGCACAGAGACATAAATGCAGAAATGCAGACACACACGCACACACAGATACAGATACACACACACACAGGCACACTGGCATACACAGTCATACACACGCACACGCTCTTCCCCGCCCACCAACACACACTCCCTGTGTCTCACACACACACACACACCAGTACACACAGATACAGATATACAGACATACACAGAGAAGACACACACACACACACACTCCCTCTTCCCCCACCACCCCCCACACACACCCTCTCTCCCACACACACACACACATACACGTTCCGAAGCCCTTTACAGCTGATGAGCTACTTGGTCAATGTTGTCACTGTTGTAAAGTCAGAAAGGCAGCGACCAGTTTGTACACAGTACCTTTCCCACAGAGCAGTATCATCCTGACTAGAGCCATCTGCCTCAGGGATGTTATTTTAGGGCTCAGTGTTGAAGCCAGAAACTCCCCTTCACTTTATCCAGTCGCCAGGAGGACTGAACAGTTAGACAAAGCCTTGGGTGAATATTTCATCCTTGAGCCAGCATCTGGGATAGTGCTGTGCATCTGGTGTCACTGCTTTAGGAGTGTCACTAAGCACAGGGTCCTCCCAGTGTTAAGGGCCAGCAACAGCAAAACCCTCCAGTGGCAGCAGGCTCTTCAAGCTGGCAGTACCGGTGGTAAGGCGACACATGCAGCCAAAGCAGGACTCATGGCCCAGCGGCGGCCTGACCTGGTAGCAGAGCCAGGGACTCTCGCTGGCAGTGGGCCCAGAGTGGGGTCTCCTGGTTGCGGGTTGTGGTCGGCCCGGAGTGGGGATTTCTGGTTATCGGCGGAGATAATGGCAGCACCTGGTTGTGGCATGGGTGTGGGTTTTGCGGCGTCAGTGAGGTGGGCCCAGCAGCAGAGGGATGGCACCTCAAGTGGAGCAACTCCTATGTTGGTGGATCTGGTGCAGGTGGCAGTGAGATAGGCAGGCCTCTTTCTCTCTCTCTCTCTCTCTCTGTGAGGCAGTGCGCGCCTCTTTCTCTCTCTCTCTCTCATTGAGGCAAGTGCGAGCGCCTCTCTCTCTCTCTCTCTCAGTGAGGCGGTGCAGGCCTCTCCCTCAGTTACTTGCTGGGGCAGACTGGATTGGAGAGACTGTTCTTCTGAACATTTTATTTCTTTGTTTTTCTAATTTATTCTGAGGATCTGTAATGCTGGACTTCTTATTTCTTTATTTTTATATTTTATTCCCCAAGAATCTGTTCTTAAGAAGCTGTCCCTGGGTCCTTTACCCCTAAGATGGCACTGTAATGGGGCGACTGTAAACTTTTCATTGTACACATGGGAGTACACGTGACAGTAAATTCATTTCATCCCAGCTGTCTCAAGTGTTTGGAGTGTAGCTACCACCATCTAAGCTGGGAAAGCTACCACTGAACCACACTAGCATCGTGTGGAGATTGTGTTGTCAAAGTACAAAATGATGTAAGACAGTGTTTGTGAGGGAGCCTGACCACAATGGTGGCATTCTAGCTTTGAGCTAGAGGTTCAAGCCCCACTCCTGACTTGAGCAGAAATATCTAAGCTCCAATGAATTTCTGAGAGAGGTGCTAAGAGCAGAGAACAGTACAGCACAGGAACAGGCCCTTCGGCCCTCCAAGCCTGTGCTGATACATTTTGCCCTTCCATACTAAAACTGCCTTCACTTACAGGATCCTTATCCCTCTTTTCCCTTCCTGTTCATGTCTACGTCCAGGTGCTTCTTAAATGCTGTTATTGTGTCTGCTTCCACCTCCTCCCCTGGCAGCGCGTTCCAGGCACTCACCACCCTTTGTGTGAAACCAGTGTGCTGTCAGAGCTGCAAGCCCATCGCTGAGGCATCAAGACAGGTCTTTATGGTTTGTGACCACATTGTGATGATTCCAGCTGATAACGAAACTGACAAGTTGGATTCCACAGTGAAATCTGGTTCAATAGACGATGTATCTTACTTTTGTAATTAGGTTAACATGATGTCATTGGTCATACTCAGGCGAGCCCGCTGATGTTACGTTAACAAAAGAGCGAAACTTTATTTTGCAAACAAAGAAAAACAATGCTATATAAAAAGATGAGTCGAAAAGATCTTATTGTAAAAGTGCCCCATTCTCCTTGTGGGAGGGAGTCCCACATTCTTCCATCTCCCTGAATCGAGAGTTCTGCTGACTTCCCAACCAGATTATTAATGCTTGTCTTACATCAGTGATCTTTAGGTTCCCCTGTAAATGAACATTTCTTTTCTATGTTTACTATATTGAAATCTCTCCCTAATGTGAAAGATCTCCATCAGGTCACTCTTCAGTCTTGTCTTGGCAATGCCAGTCTTCACTGATAATGTACAGAGTCTTGCAGAGGGCACCCCAGGCCATTTCTCTGCCTCCGAATCAGAAACTCCAGATCCAAGGCCCACACGAGGACCTGATTATTAAGGAAGATATAAACTGGCCAAAAAAGTTGACCTGTAAATCATTTCAGCACTTCCCATTGGCGAGATGTAATAGTGGGAGAGATTCCTGGTCAACCTCGAGATAGAATGGACAGTGGAGCCTCCACCATCACTCACTGTCTGTAACTCTGGGTTGTAATGTGTTTGTAAAAGTGTATGTTGCCACAGCAAGGTGGACACACTGAGCAAACTATAACACTCTGAAATTACGGTGCTGCAGGAGATGAAATCAGATTCAGACAGTGTCATTTTCTGGCTGGAAGGAATTGAAGAATTCCTTGTTCCTTTCTTGGTTGTGAAGGTGGTTGCTGTGGTCACTATGTGGCTTTGTGGTGGTTGTGATTGAAGCCATGAAGCTGAAGAAAAGGTGCAGTCTGATGGCTTTGTCAGCACTGACCATCAGTTGGCTTCTGTGTGGGATGGAGGGGAATGGCAGACATATCAGTGAACCATTTGCATTTCTGTTGTTTTCAGCTTGGGTCCATGGAGATCCGAGGAAAGTGGTGTATCCGACAGATAGCCGTGGCCAATTCTGTGGACAGAAGGGAACTGTCAATGAGTGAGTAACTAATTCTATCGCTGGGCAATTTGGGAATTGTTGGTGGGAATGGCGGAGAGGGAGGGAGATTTGATTCAAGTAGAAAATACAGTGGCCAAGTACTGAAAAGAATGGAAAAGGCAGAGAGGATGTTGGCCGAGGACAGAGGACAGGACATGATGTGAGCGTTGTACAAAATTCTGATCAGATTCCATCTGCATTCAGTTCTAGGTCCCACTTCCCAGCTCTGTTTGTGATGTACTGTCCTCAGAGGGAATCTAGCACTGCAAGGTTTAAACCTGGAGGAAAGATTGTACACACTAGGACCATCTCTCCTTGAGCTTCAACGATTAAAGTGAGATATTTGGGGAGTCCAGAGCAAGAGGGGGGTCAGCGGAATTCTCTGCCACAGAAAGTGGTTGAGGCCAAAACATTGAATGTTTTCAAGGAGGAGTTAGATATAATTCTTAGGGCTAAAGGGATCAAAGGGTATGGGGGAGAAAGTGGATGATCAGCTGTTGTCATATTGAATGGAACAGCAGGCTTGAAGGGCTGTATAGGTGATCAGAGAATCAGCCATGCTTGAATGGAATGGTGCAGGGGGCTTGATGGACAAAATGGGCTACACCTGGCCTGTTTTCTATGTTTCTATGAGCCACTGGTGAAATGTTTAGTAGGTGAAAGTCATTTGGTACAGTCAAACAAGGCCATCTATTTCCCTTGATGGGAGAGTGCGGAATAATGGGACATCATTTGGGGGCAGCACGGTGGCTCAGCGGTTAGCACTGATGCCTCACAGCGCCAGGTACCCGGGTTCGATTCCACCCTTGGGCGACTGTCTGTATGGAGTTTGCACATTCTCCCTGTGTCTGCGTGGGTTTCCTCCAGGTGCTCCAGTTTCGTCCCACAGTCCAAAGACATGCGGGTTAGGGTGGAGTGGCCATGCTAAATTGCCCATAGTGTTGAGGGATGTGTGGATTAGGTGGGTTATAGGGGGATGGGTCTGCATGGGATGTTCCAAGGGTCGGTGTGGACTTATTGGGCCGAAGGGCCTGTTTCCACACTGTAGAGATTCTATAAGATAAGAAATTTTATAAATGGAAGGCAGGGAGTTCATAGGGTATTTGGGTGGAAGGTTTTTTTTTGCCCAGAGGATGGTGGGGCACTGGAAAACACTGCCTGGGAGAGGAGTTGATGTGAGAAGTCTTACAACTTTTACAAAATAGTCGGATGAGCACATGAAGTGTCACAACATTCAAGGCTATGGGCCTAGTACGGGAAAGTGGGATTTGTGTAGGTAGCGCTGAATTTGTGGTGGTACAGACTTGATGGGCTGAAGGGCCTCCTCTGTACTGTATCTATGGTTCTATATTTCTATGTCCCTAAGAGGCAGAACTTTAAAGAACAAGCTGGATCATTTTGTGGGTGATGTAAAGAAACACTGACACTGGGAGCAGGGCATATCTGGAATCACTCCCTCAGAAACCAAGATAACAAAGCCAAAAAACTGTGGACGCTGGATATCTGAAACAAAAACAGAAATTGCTGGAAAATCTCAGCAGATCTGGCAGCATCTGTGGAGAACTCAAGTCCGTTCTGAAGAAGGGTCACTAATGGGTTACTGGTGATAGCCTAGTGGTATTGTCGTTGGACTGTTAATCTACAGACCCAGGTGATATTTGGGGACCCAGGTTTGAACCCCACCACAGCAGATGGTAGAATTTAAATGCAATAAAGTAAAAAATCTGGAATTAATATTCATCTGTAAACCATTGTCAATTGTCGGAAAAACCCATGTGGTTCACTTATGTCCTTTAGGGAAGGAAGCTGCCATCCTTACCGGGTCTGATTCCGATGTAGTTGACTGTGAACTGCCCTCTGGGATAAGCAAGAAATGCTAGCCCAGCCTGTGAATGAACAATAAAAAAAAAATAAAATTGGAATGGAGATTGATAGATGTAAGGAAGGGGTTTGAAGGACGTGGAACAAGGCAACAGAATTTATACTTTTACAGAGAAAACGGGTGACACTGCCAAGTCTGGAGCCCCCACTCGCACCTCACACTTCTCCTCCTCCTCCAAACCCTACCCTGTCCCTACTATTCAGTAACAAACAGGATAAGATCAGACAGAAAGATAGACCTTATGACGGTCTCTCACAAAATCATACTTTTAGAAACATTGAGGAGTATCGAACATACAGGGCCGACGTTAGGAAGGAAATGAGGAAATTGAAGAAAAAATGCAAAAGGGGTTGTTAAAGGAAGGTCATGTGTTAATAACTTCAATGAATTTTTTTCAGAAAGTAAGAAGGATTACCGAGGGCAGTGCAGTAGATGTTGTCTATATGGGTTTTATTACGGCATTGATAAGGCCCCTATCACGGTCTGGTCAGAAACATTAAAGTCAAAAGGAAACAGGGGAATGTGACATGAAAATTGGTTCAGCGACAGGAAACAAACAGTTCTGTTCAATGGTTATTTCTCAAAATGGAAATGTGTTTCCAGTGAATTTCCCAAGGGCAGAGTGGATGGTGTGGTTGGAAATGTGGCATATAGAATTCAACCTGGAAAAGGGTGAGGTTACGCATTTCGTAAGGGTAAAGGAAGCAAGAGAATCTATAATAACGCAGAGAGTATTGGGAAGGCTAGAGGAAGGGAGAGACCTCAGAGTATATCTGCACAGATCACTAATGCTGAGAAAGTGTGACACTGTCCGAGGGTCAGCACTGAGGGAGTGCCGCACTGTCGGAGGGTCAGCACTGAGGGAGTGCCGCACTGTCGGAGGGTCAGGACCGAGGGAGTGGTGCACTGTTGGAGGGTCAGGACCGTGCTGGGATGAGACAACTGGGTGATCCAACAAAGTGCTGACCATTGCACATTGAGAACTTTTGTTTTGAATTCAGTGGGGCATTCATGGAGATGGTGTTTCACTTTGAGAGTGGAGATGGTGTTATGCAGTGCTGCTGGAATTACTGTGTTGTTTTGTAATTCTTTACCGCGATGTGTGTCGCTGGTGAGGGCAGCGTTTACTCCCAGGACCCAATTCAGTTGGAAGTGGCCAGGTGCAGTGAATTCCGTGACCTTCCTGTCCCCAGGCCCGGAAGCCTGTGCTGTAGGTGCGTTATGAACAGGGCTATGTACAACTGGGACATGACCCCAATCCCTTTCATTCTTCCTCTCGAGGTGTAAAACCCAGCATCCCATCAACACTTTGGGTAATTTTCTGCGCCCGTTGATGATGTTTCCTTGATGTGTGCACCTGGAGCTCTCAACAAACTCCATTTCATTACCTCCTGTCATTGGTCACCATTTACAAAGCCTCTCTAACTTAAATTCAGTACTCAGTGGTTGAGCTCACAGTTGAAACCTTTTTGAAACCTGCTGAAACCTTTTGTCCTTTCATTGAATCTATCGAGATCTCTGTGATTTTATTCTTGCATGTGTCCTGGCTCCAGGGTTTGGTAGTGCAGAGGGGGAGTCCCTCTCTCTGGACTGGGTTCCATTTCTCACCTGTCCCAGAGCTGGGATTGAACAGGTCTGAGCGTGTTCGATGCTCACTGTCTCACCAATCTCTGCATTATTGGCAAATTTGTAATGTAGCTCTGCATTCCATCATCCATGTCATTCATGAGCCATGGATCCCTGTGATATCACTCACACGCTGACATTTTGGGAACAAGCTCATGGTCCTGACTTATGTTAATAATTTACCTTCAATTACTGAGCTTTGTACACAATCTCTTTTATCCACAGGTCACCCATCAATATTTGTCCCACTGGAGCCGTCCCTTTGAGAATTTCAATCAGATTCATTGGAGATAACCCATCCTTTATAAATCTACGCTAACCCCACCACCACCCACCACCCCTCCGCCCCAGTCAGCTGAAACTATTCCAACCGTCCCACCACCCTATCCTTCGTCATCAGGCTCCTGTAAATTCCCGGCAAGAAGTGTAAACCCAGCTGCTGTCCCATTCTCAAAGTTTCCTGGGTCAGCTTTGAAAAGCTTGGCCAAAGAATTTCATTTTCAAGAGTGATTTAAAGTAGAATTCGAGAGGAGAGAATGAGAAGGAGAGGAAAGAGAGAGAGAGCAAGAAGAAAGAGAGCGAAAGAGTGAGAGGAGAGAGTCAGAAGAAAGAGAGAGAGACAGCGAGAGGAAAGAGAAAGATCAGAGAGAGAGTGAGAGGAAAGCAAGAGAATGAGAGGACAAGAGGAAAGAGAGCAAGGGGAGAGAGAGAATGAGAGAGATATACAGTGGGAACTGAAGAGGCAGAGGGAGAAGCACCAGACTGAAGGCTCAGACAGCTTGAATGCATGGCCATGGATGGTACAGAGAGTAAAATTGGAGATGTCACAGAAGGGAGGGTTACAGAAGAGATTGAGAAGGAATGTCGGGTGTGAGGAGATTTCAGAAACTGGAATGGTGCAGCAGGGGTGGAGTGGGGTGGTGGAGGAAATGGAGGGAGAGTGGAGTGGGTGGACGGTGTGAAGGGGATAGAGGGAGTGGTGGGAGTGGAGGCGGTAGAGAGGAGGGCAGTGAGTTGATGGAAGGAATTGAATACAAGCATAAGAATTATAAGGTTGCTTTCCAAGACTGTGAGCAGTTCAGAAATACATTGATTGATTAATTTTAAATTCAAGTCAAGATTCTCAAAGAGACTCTAGACCTTAAATGACCAGGCACAGATTGGATTTTGTTGCATATTCCAGTTTGGAAACATTAATTGTGTTAGTAATGCAGTGACAGACCCTTTGCTTTCCATTGTACAATAATCAGTTGAAAAAGTGTTGCAGTTATTTCCCCTGATCTCTTTCAGGAACAAGACCATTTTATTCTACTTCAACATCCTGAAGTGTGCAAGCCCTGCAGTCCTCATCAACCTACAATGCCCAACGAAACAGGTAGGTCTCCATGGTCTGGCTTTGCAGCTCAGTATTGACCCTCCGACAGTGCGGCACTCCCTCAGCACTGACCCTCCGACAGTGCGGCGCTCCCTCAGCACTGACCCTCCGACAGTGCGGCACTCCCTCAGCACTGACTCTCCGACAGTGCGGCACTCCCTCAGCACTGACTTTCTGACAGTGCGGCACTCCCTCAGCACTGATCCTCTGACAGTGCAGCGCTCCCTCAGTACTGACCCTCTTACAGTACGGCACTCCCTCAGTACTGACCCGCCGACAGTGCAGCGCTCCCTCAGTACTGACCCTCCGACAGTGCGGCGCTCCCTCGGTACAGACCCTCCGACGGCGCGGTGCTCCCTCAGCGCTGACGTACATCCTACACTGAATTTCTGGTGGAGGATTGTGATGTTTCCCCGTTGCCAGGCAAACGTTATTTGTGTCCAGGTTACTCGGGTTGAACTTTCTGGGAGCCGGTGACGACATTGGCCTGTGTGGCCATTGCCCGTAATTGTCTTTGTTCTAATTTTTGTTCCTCTATGATTTGTTTTTGTGATGGGCTCTGAATCGAACTGTTTAAAAGTTGTAATTGGTATGTTTTCCTTTCTATGTGCAGGTTTGTGTTGAGAAGTGTCCAAACCAGTTTGCCCGATACTTCGATGTGAAAAACAATTACCGATGGAACAAAACTTCCTGGGAATATTACCGCCAGTTTTGTCAACCTGGCTACAGCATTCCTCGAAAGGTGGGTCCAATCAGGTGGACTAACAGAGCATAGAATTAGTTTGGCATCTACAAAACAAACCAGGACTTTGACCCATCTGTTTTGTGATTATCCTCCCACTCCCTCTTTGAGTCACCCTGACATCCAACCCTTCCGTTCGTTTCTCCCTCGTATCCTTGTCGAGCTTGTTGATTAACTCATCTTGAACAATCAGTTTGACCAGTCCCTGAGAAATTCCCATCTATACCTACCCGCTGTTTCCTATCTATCAGCCATCTTGTAATCCATGCTGTCAAGGTATGTCAATCCCAAACATTTCTAACCAACATGCGCTGTGTCCTGTGAAAATTCAAATGTATTACCATCACTGCTTTCCCTTTATCTCAAGAAAAAAAACGCAGAAAACAAAGAACAATACAGCACAGGAACAGGCCCTTCAGCCCTCCAAGCCTGCGCTGACACATTTTGCATTTCCATACTAAAACTGTCTTATAGGATCCGTATTCCTCTACTCTGTCCCTATTCATGTACTTGTCCAGGTACTTCTTGAATGCTGTAATTGTGTCTGCTTCTACCACCTCCTCTGGCAGCGCGTTCCAGGCATTCACCACCCTTAATGTGAAAAACTTGCGTCACACATCTCTTTTAAACTGCTCCCCCTGCAAACTGAACCTGCGTCCCCTAGTAATTGACCCGTCCACCCTGTGAAAAATGCCTCAATCTTATGAATCTTATAACTGTAGATGCTCAACATCGGAAACAAAAACAGAAATTGCTGGAAGAGCTCAGCAGGTCTGGCAGCATCTGTGGAGAGAAAACAGAGTCAATGATTCAGGCCCAATGACCCTTTGTTAACCTTTTGCGGTAAACACCAGGCCCCAGGGACAAGGGAGTTTTGATGCTGGTGGATTGAGTAATTGGCGAGCTGTTGGGTGGCTTACCCTGAGAAGAGGCAGGTCTCTCGGCCGACAGAAGCGAACGCCAACCCCTCAGCGAGTTTCTGCTTCCTTTCAGAATGTAGCACCTCACATTTACCCTCCATTACTCTTCGGACCTCTTTCCACCAGCACCCACTTTGCCTGGCTTTATTCGTTTTAAACACCTCAGCTTTTAACAGGCTGCAGCAAAGATCTGTTCGATCCTTTGTAATTTTTACACCAAAGTCACTTGCTAATTTCTTTATTTTTCTATTTTGGTCCCTACGGTTTTGTACCTCGGTACCTTTGTACCTAAGATGACGTCAGGAATGGTGACGTTACACACATTGCGCTGCCCTCCTGTACTTGAGTACACGTGACAATAAAACCTAATTCTAATTCGAATTTGAATTCTTTGGCCCAGTTGCAGTTTGTTCACTGCCAGCTTTGACATCAATGTACCATCCAGTGAGTGGTCCCAAAGTGACATTTAAAGGTTACCCTCTTCATAAATTCTTCCAATTTGTGTGGCACCCTGTTGAATAAGTTGAAAATCATACCCTTCTGTCAGTGCATCCTGCAAGAGGTTGATAAGCTGTGAAGGGGTAAATAGTAGATTATTTATTTACAGTAATGCTGACATTAATGATCTATTAATGCTTTCTGTCTGTTTATGGAGAGAATGATTGCTCTTAAATCATTCACCTTGTTGCAGTAACTGTGATGTGTTTCGTGTTGAATGAAGAAAGTTTCTTCCCTCGTCACCTGACCCTGTCAGCAGACCCTTTGATTCCTCCCCCTCGTGTGTTTATCAGGCTTCCCCCTCAATGAATCCACAATATTCCCCTCCCCATCCCTGTGGGAGTGAGTCCCACATCCCCTTTCCCCCCAACCGTTGGAGTGTGTTCCACATTCCAAATAAATTTGTTTCTCCCGATCTCCCTGATGGATTTATTGGGGACCATCTTCCATTTATAACTCCTCATTATAGTCTTCCCCACAGCTGGGAAACATCTTGTCAATTTTTACCCTTTCAATTCGCTTTACAATTTGCAGCTCACTGATTTAATTACCGCAGTTCAAAAGGGAGCAAGCTTTGGACTATTCGATATCATAACCTCCCCAGTGCTGCTTTACTTGGACCATTTTTCTGACAGCTTCATCACTGTCCCCAAATGCTTTTAGCTCTGTGGAGAACAGAATTGTAAGTAAACCCCTTCAACCAAGCACATTCTTTGAAGGACCATGTCTCCTGTGGAGAATAGTTGGTGATATTGGATAACTGGAGGATGTAATGTGTTTGGCTGTTTTTGAACGATGAACCAAGATGGGTGGAATGACCTTTCCTGTCTCTGTCTATACCAGGATCTCGCTGCATTTCACAACGTATTACCCATCCTGACAATTGCCAAAAGAGACTCAGCTTGTTGATGCACATGCATTCCTGATAACAATGTCTCAACCAGAGTCCACTTACCAACTAATTGTCAGTCTTCATTCATACAGTCTAAAATCCCCATGAACTGGTATTCTTATGCAAGATGAAAAAAATCAACAAAATGTGTCTTTTTTTTTCCAGTAATGCTCCAGCTCAATATGACCGAGTGGCTATTTGATGTTCTTTAACCAACCTCTTCTTGTGTTGCCCTCTGTATTTTAGTCTGCTTCCCAGGTGATTCGAGATGAAGACTGCCCATCAATGATTGTTCCCAGCCGACCCTGTACGTATCACGTCTTCCTTTGATGCAATACTGGCCCGCATTTGGTACTTACTTGTCCTGAGGGGTGGGGCAAGGAAGGGAATTGGTGGGAAGCAGGTGCACCACACAGACTGCTATCGCATGGGTGTGTGAGCTCAGGAATCATGTGTTGAATGAATGTCCCCTGCCCACGATTCGTGTGGTTTGGGTTCGCTCACTGTCAAAGTGCGAGTATGTGATCATCCTGTGCAAAGTAGTGGAGCTAAATTAACAGTAATGCAGCGATGAAATGTGTTTATTACCTTAGGCAGATTCTTCAGTGGAAAAAAGACTAAATAGACTAGAATCATAGCGTCATACAGCACAGAAACAGACCCTTCGGTCCAACCAGTCCGTGCCGAAAATCATCCCAAACTAAACTAGTCCTACCTGCCTACTCCTGGCCTATATCCCTCCAAACCTTTCCTATTCATTTATTCATCCAAATGTCTTTTAAACATTGTAATTGTACCCACATCCGCCACTTTCTCAGGGAGTTCATTCCACAAGCGAACCACCCTCTGTGTAAAAAAATTGCCTCTACTGTCTTTTTTAAGTCTCCCTCCTCACACCTTAAAAGTGTGTCCCATAGTCTTGAAATCCCCCATCCTATGGCAAAAAAAACAAGTACCACTAACTCTATTTATACCTCTCATTATTCTATAAACTTCTATCGGGTTGCCTCTTACCCTCCTACGCTCCTGTGAAAAAGTCCCAGCCTATTCAGGCTTTCTTTATAACTCGAACCTTCTATGCTTGGCAATGTCCTGGTAAATCTCTTCTCAATTCTCTCCAGCTTGATAATATCCTTCCTATAACCAGGTGACCAGAACAGAACACAGTATTCCAGAAGAGACCTCACCAATGTCCGATACAACTTCAACATGACTTCCCACCTGGTGGCTCAGTGGTTAGCACTGCTGCCTCACAGCGCCAGGGACCTGGGTTCAATTCCATCCTTGGGCAACTGTCTGTGTGGAGTTTGCACATTCTCCCTGTGTCTGCGTGGGTTTCCTCCCACAGTCCAAAGATGTGCAGGTTAGATGGACTGGCCATGCTAAGTTGCCCATAGTGTCGAGTGATGTATATAGGCCAAGTGGATTAGCCATGGGAAATGCAGGGTTAAAAGGATAGAGTGGGGGAGTGTCGGTGTTGGGTCTGGGTAGGATGCTCTTCAGAGGGTTCGGGTGGACTCAATAGGCCGAATGGCCTGCTCCTACACTGTATGGAATTCTAAGATTCTATGAAGTATAATGTTTGGAGGATAGCAATCTAGTAAAGATATCAAGCCAATCATTAACGAAAAAGCATCATCTTAAACTTGAGGAAAGAGAACAAAGATTTGAATTTAAATGGCAGCTTTGATGTCCCAAAGACCTTTATGGTTGATTCGAGAGGACTGTTCCCGTTCTGGGACTATTGCAGTTGGCCAGTTTTCACAAAGCAAGGTTCTACAAACAGCGATCAAACAAACAAATTGTTCATTGGGGAATAAATATTGACCAGGGCATAACAGCATAAGAACAAGAAAAAGGAGTAGGCCATTCACCCCCTCAAGCCTGCTGTCCTCATGGCTGATCTCACCTTGGTTTTAACTCCACTTTCCTACCTGCTTTCCATGACCCTTCAGCTCATTGCTAATGAAAAATCTGTCTATCTCCTCCTTCGATTTACTCAGTGTTCCGACATCCGCTGCGTTCAGGGGCAGTGAATTCCATCAATTCCCGACTGTTTGAGAGAAAAATAATTTCTCCTCATCTCTGTTTCAAATGGGGGTTGGTGCTTAACTGCTGCCTGAAATGCCTGAGCAAGACTCTCAGTTCGGGGCAATTTGGGATTTGCGACAAATGCTGATCTTGCCAGAGACACCAGCCTCCTGTGAAAGACTAAAAGGCCAGAGAGAGAGGGGGGCTCCTGTGCTCCATTGGTAATGAACCTGGGTTCCAATCCCAACCTGCTCCAGAAACGTGTCATAACATGTCTGAACAGGTTGATGAAAATAAAAATGAAAGGCACAAAAGATTTATATGACTGGTTTCAGAACTGAGAGGTTCTAATTGTTTGAGCAGTTTTGTCAGCTAATTTTCCAGGAGCAGGAAAGAGTCATAGTCATAGTGCATGGAAACAGGCCCTTTGGCCCACCATGTCTATACTGACCAACAAATAGCAGACTACACTAATCCCATTTACCTGTACTTTGTCCATGGCCTACTATGCCCTGGTATTTTAAGTGCTCATCTAGATGCTTCCTAAAATGTTGTGAGAGTTTGTGCCTCCATCACCGTCTCAAGTGGCACCTTCCATATTTTCATCACTCTCTAGCTCAAAACTTCTTTCTCAAATCTTCTGTAACCACTTCCTCCTCACCTTAAGCTTAAGACACTTGGTCTTAGACACTTCTGCTATGGGGAAGGACCAAGGCAATGACATGATAAATGTCAGAAAACACACAACATCAGGTTACAATCCAACAGGTTTATTTAAAATCACAAGCTTTTGGAGAGTTGCTCCTTTGTCAGGGACACTTCACCTGATGAAGGAGCAGGGCTCTAAAAACTTGTGATTTTAAATAAATCTGTTGGATTGTAACCTGGTGTTGTGTGACTTCTGACTTTATCCACCACACATCATGATAAATGTCATCGTGGAGTGATTTGATGTGGCAGACTTGGGAAAAATGTTTCCACCTGTGGAGTAGTCTAAAGTGAGAGGTGGCAGATATGGGACAGTCAGTAATAAATCTAGTCAGGAATTCAAGAAGAAATGTCTTTACCACAAGGAGTGCGTAGATTGAGGAACTCTGTTCCATGGGGAGTGGTCGAGGCAAATAGTTTGGATAGAACATAGAACATTACAGCGCAGTACAGACCCTTCGGCCCTCGATGTTGCGCCGACCTGTGAAACCAATCTGAAGCCCATCTAACCTAAATTATTCCATTATCATCCATATGTTTATCCAATGACCATTTAAATGCCCTTAAAGTGGGCGAGTCTACTATTTTTGCAGGCAGGGCATTCCACGCCCTTACTACTCTCTGAGTAAAGAACCTACCTCTGACATCTGTCCTATATCTATCACCCCTCAATTTAAAGCTATGTCCCCCCGTGCTAGCCATCACCATCCGAGGAAAAAGGCTCCCACTGTCCACCCTATCTAATCCTCTGATCATCTTGTAGATTTAAGGGAACGCTGGATAAAATCAGGAATGAAAGAATCAAAGGCTGTAGTGATGGGCTTGGATGAAGAGGGGCTTTTGGAGTCTCCTAAACCCCAGCATGACCCATTTGGGCCAAATGCCCATGAAAGTGTTCAGACTGGGTCCAGTGGTGGCTGGAAAGATTTTGCTGTTGCCGTGTTTGTCGCTAAGCGTGGATGGCAGGATTTCTGCCCAGCCCTGGTCTGATTTTCTTCTGCCTTTTCCTCACCAGTTCTGCGCCGTTGCTTTCCTGACTTCACCACCAAGAACGGAATTCTGACGGTGGCCAACAAGACCACGTTCAAAGATGGCCAGGGCAGAACCCGCAACGTGACAGACCTGCGGGATGCAGCTAAGTAAGTCACTGCTCCTCACTGCGACCTTTCACCTCCTTAACGGAGAGAAATTGTCAAGAGAATTCAATTGAGTCAATCAGGAGACAGGGATAGGAGGCTCAGTGAGCAGAGGGAGAAAGATTGAAGGGAATCAGGGAAAACCCCCAGAGGTGGGGACATGAGGGGGATTGTTTTACACAGTGAGTTGTTGGGATCGGCACAGTGCTGCCTGAAAGGGCAGTAGGAGCAGATTCAATCATAATTTTCAAACAGGAAATCGGAGAAATAATTAAACAGGAAAACATTGCTGGCCAATGGGACAGGAGTAGGGGAGTGAGATTAATTGGGTAGATTTTTTGAAAACCTGACTCCGGCAAGATGGGCCATATAGCCTCCAGCTATGTTGTAAAGTTCTGTGATATTATGATCTCCCTTGTGGGAGTCTCCTATTCAGCCTCTTGTAAAATGTCTGTTCAAAAGGGGGCTGTATAGAACCTGGGCCTTGTATAAACCAGCTATCTAACCATTGCATTCGGCTTCTTATGAATTGCCCTAGTGGCCTTTGTTTCCATTTTTTCTCCTGTAGCCAGTTTGTCTCTGACAGACTAAGGTGTTCATGTGGCTCAGAAGCAATAAGCTGAGAAACAGTTCCAAAGACAGTCTCAATATTGAGTCCGGAACCTGCTTGGGGACCCTACAGCCCTCCGGACTCAATATTGAGTTCAATAATTTTAGGGCCTAAACTCTCCCATGTCCCAGCCCGTTACCCCACACACCAGGCCTTGTTACCACATAGCCTGCCACTACACACCCGCTGTTGTTAGTCACTAACAGTCCCCATTAACAACTATTCACCCTCCCAGCCTGATCGTTAGCAACTCCTTTGTCTGTCCAACTGTCTTTCTCTCTCTTTGGGCTCTATCCTATCGTTTACTCCCTACCCCATCCACCTCCCTATTTTCTGCACATAAACTGACGTTTTCCCAGCCACCATCAGTTCTGAGGAAGGGTCACTGGACCCGAAACGTTAACTCTGTTTCCTCCTCCACAGATGCTGCCAGACCTGCTGAGATTTTCCAGCAACTTTGTTTTTGTTCATGACACCAGAACCATTTTCTTTATGCTCTAGATTCATTCTGATACATGCTGTGAGATTATTCTGCTGTCTGTCTTTAAGTCAATCTGATGTGTGCTCTAGATTTACTCTCTTTCTGCTCTAGATTTACTTACTCACTATTTTAGAGTGAATCTATTGTATATTTAAGATTCACACTATTCTAGAATTGTTCTGGTGCCTGTTCTAGAATGGAAAGGTACTATATTCTAGATTTATTGTGATACCTGTGCTATGGTTACTCTGTTATCTGTTCTGGATTTTTTCTTCTATCTGTTCTAGATTTGCTGTTCACTAACATCCTTTTATATCTCCTCTTATATCCATGTCACTTTACTTCCTCTGATCTAATGAATGTTATATGTTCCTCTCCGTCTGTAACTCGCTTCCCCCTAAACTCTACACCTTCAGCATCTGTAAACCTCTGTCACAGCTCATCCCTTTTAAATGTGTTGGCGTACTCTGTGCGTTCCCCAGGGAGAGCCAGGCATTGTACTCTGCTGCATCCATTGGTTTCCATCACTTGCCCTCATTGCCCTGTTCACTAGGTACTGGTGTCGAGGTCTGTGTCCATGACCTTTCATGTTAACATTACAGTGGTGGGCTGTGAGGTCGCACCGGTGTGAAGGTTTTCACCTGTCACCATCTGCCATGTCTGGTTATTATTTTAAATTTGTTCGTCTGTCATCAACTGATGAGATGACATCGCAGTCATTAATCCTGTGTGAAATGTGATCTGTCATTAATTTTGTGACTCAGTGCTTTGCAATGATATATCCAACTGTCAGAGAAGGAGAATTGAATAAATTGTTCTGGAAAATAAATATTTTCAGTAAAATTAGGAGCTGTGTAATAACCTGATCTTGGGGTTCAGTTCGTAGTTAATATCTACTCATAGTATATCATGTCATCAAAACATAGGACTACCCCCGATTATTAAGACTATTTCTATGTACAATACAATATTTACAATGGGGTGAATTAATCAAATCTTAATGTGTGTACTCTCCCTGATCCCATACCCCTATTTCTCATGGGAAGTGTCAATGTAAAATGTCACGGTTAGGTTTGCTCTCCTGCCCCTCCTTAAGGCAGGGCTGTGTAATTACAACCTGACACTGTTAATAGATGTTTCAAAGGTTACAGAAATATAGAATTAAGAACAGAGTCACGATTTTTAAGATGGGATCTAAATTACATTGATTTACTCTCTCCAACATTTCACTCCCCTGCTCTGTCTACTGTTATTCCCAATTTCCTGTATCTGTTACCTTGGGAGTTCAACTCAAATTGACAGATTTATTAAAATATTGGGCTGTCAGGAGTGATTCCAACCTGTGATATCTCTTTCAATTAAGCCATGGCTCCTCCATTAGTTTTCGGTGTTCTGCATTTAATCTTGTGAGTGTAAAAATGTTCTCCATCAGCAATAACAAGGAGTCTTTATTTTAAATTTACAGCAAGGTGACCATCATCCGCCACGGACCTAAGAGGTGTTGCAATAATTTTTGAGTAATCCTAACAGTTTGGAATGAGCTGGTGTGCATTAAACCTGCATGAGCTCTTTGGCTGTTCTGTTTGTTAATCTTGGAGTTTGGTTGGAATGTGTGGACCAGAGAAGTTGGTAGTCAGTATCGATATGTTTAGGAATTCAGTGTCTAAATGGGGTGAAGGATCAGAGAGGTGTAGGAGTACAAATCACTAACAGCAGCAACACCACTTAATAAAGCCCATAAAAAGTCCAACAAGTCAGTGGGGTTTCTGTCTTGAGGAATACAATTACAAAGCAGAGCAAGTTGTATATATTGCTTAGTCTACACTTGGAACACTGTGCATACTTCAGAACACCACATTGCAAACAAGATATTGAGGCATCAAAGAAGATGGAATAATGTTTTAACAGGAAAGATTTTAGAAGTTTATACCTTTCAGCAGAGGGTGACCAGGCCGTGACTGTGCTCTCCAGATAAAAGGAGGTTGAGGAGTGACCTGACATGCAGGGATTTCATATCGTCACCTAGGAGAGGATGTTTCAGAGAAGGAGATCAGAACTCAGGGCCATTTGTAAAAGGTAGTCCCTAACAAATCCAGTCAGGAATTCCGGGAAAACCCCTTCTCCTGGAAAGCAGGGAGAATGTCTCACTTGTAGGGGGGGAGGTGTTGGGAGGAATGTGGGACTCACTCCCATGGGGGCTGGGCTTTTGGAACTCGTGGTGGGGTTGTGAAATATTGTGGATACTTTGAAGGTTAAGCTGCATAAACACATGAGAAGGAAAGGAAGAAGATGTTGAGAGGAAGAGGCAGGAGAGCGATGAAGTTGGGAGCAGGCTCATTTGGAACAGGACAAAGCGTGGACTGCTTGGAATGAAAGAGCTGTTTGAAGGCTGTGTTATTACTGAGAGCTGGTGGCTATTGATTGTGTTCATTGGGTCAGATATCAAGGTGCCCTTTACCTGGAGATCGATGTCACCCACCTGACAAAGAGATGCCTTTGGAGCCAAAAGTGCAGCATATCACACACTGGCATGTCATGATACTGATGAGTCAATGCCAAGCAGTCACGCTCACTGGCCCACAGTGGCCTGTTTGAGGTTCCCTTTGTAAAATTGAATAGAGCTGGTGAATGTGTCTAAACCAGGTCTACTCACTGTCTGGCTGCCTGTTCCTCAAGGGACCATTGTTCATCGAAGAGCCAGCATGGACTTGATGTGGACTGATTGGTCTCCTTATGGGCTATAGTTCTTAATGTTAAAACATTCCTTCATGGGACCTCATTTATTGCCCGTCCCTAGTTGTCCCTTGAGAAAGTGGTGGTGAGCTGCCTTCTTGAACCACAGCTGTCCATGTGCTGTAGGTTGACCCACAATGCCCTTAGGGTGGGAATTCCAGGATTTTGATCCAGTGACAGTGAAGGAACAGTAATATATTTCTTAAAATTCTGAGGCTTGACAAGGTCGATGCTGAGAGATGGTTCCCAGTGCATTGACATCTAGAATGAGGGTCATAATCTCAGAATAGCTCCACTGTTTTGGTCTGAGATGAGCAGGAATGTCTTTATTCTGAAGTTTGTGAGCCCTTGGAATTCTGTACCCCAGAAAACTATGGATTTTCAGTGATTGAATATATCAATAGTGTATCAATAGTTTATCAACTTTAATATCAATAGTTGTTTTGAATTTAAATCAACCAAGTGCTTCAAAAGTTGGGCAAGAAAGGGGAGGGCTTGTGATCTTATTGAATGAAACAGGTTGAAGGGGACACTGGCCTGTTTCTACTCTCACCTCTTGTACATTCTTCTGAGCTGGACCCTGCAAATAGTGAAGTGGGAGTGAATGATGTTTTGATGGGTGAAAGGAATTTTGGGATAATTATTAGTCTGAAAGTTGATAAAATGACTCGAGTCAACAGGACACATCATAGGAACATAAAGAAAGAAACTTGCCACAGCAAATGACATGCCGTTATTCAAATGTGATGCCCTGCCTCTGAGCCACGAGGCCCAGGTTCAAGTCCCATCTGGTCCAGATTGATTCAGTGATAGGTGGTGGCCTATGGTATTGATCCAGAGAGCCAGCCTGGGTGAGACTGAAGCCGTATGCTTCAACAGACCTGGTTTCACTGCCCTCGCTCATCCTTCCTCCTTGAATATTGGCACCACACACAGTGTCTTTGTGCTGGAGCTTAGTACCTTTGCTTAACGAAAATGTATCCATCTCAGATTTAAAATTAACAATTAATCCAGCACCCACTGCTGTTTGTGGAAGAGAGTTCCAATCCTCTCCCACCCTTTGTGTGTAGAAGTGCTTCCTAACATCTCTCCTGAACGGTCTGACCCTCATTCTCAGACTATGCCCCTAGTTCTAGAATCCCCAAACAGTGGGAGTGGTTTATCTTGTATTCTCTCCAAGACCAATCTATCCTTCCTAAGGTGTGGTGCCCAGATCTGCTCACGGTGCTCCAACTGGGGTCTTTGGTATAATGGTAGTTATTTATGCTGCATACGTTAAGGGTGCTATATGAGTGCAAGTTATTGTTGTTAGCTTGGGATCTGACCCAATCGGCTGCTTCAAGGAAGCATTTATTCCACGACCTAATTTCAAACTGTTTTCGTGATGAGGTGGCTCACCAACTCTCACAGATGGCAGTTCCAAAAATACATTGGTTTCTGAAGGAAGTTAAGGTGGCATTGACAGAATCCTGTGCTTCTTGGCAAGGTTGAGGATTATTGATGTAAGCAGATTTGCAGAATGGTTTCCAGAGTTCCTGTAACCAGGACTCAGCCTCTGAGGTAGTTTAGCAAGAGGCACATTAATATAGTTGCTTTCTCTGTATGTCAGTGGGTATGAAGGAATGAATATCTTACAATGTGAAACTCTGCTTTCTGTGCTCATTGAGGTCAGTGATGAATTGTTGAGGGACAGGCATTGTCAATATGAAAGGTTCCCTGGTCAAATAGCAGAGAGAGATCAGCATCTGAGCATGTGAATCTGACAACAACAATAGATCTTCCTTTGTATAGCACCTTTAAAGTGATAAAGCATCACAAGACAACACCCGGCAACATAAACCAAAAAAGAATTGACACAGGGAGAAAAGGAGGAGATATTAGCACAGGTGACTAACAACTTGGTCAAAGAGGGAAGTATAGGATGAGGCCACTCTGCCTTCAATCCTATTCCTCTATTTGGTGAGGTCATCACTGATCTCCACTTCCTCGCTTTTCTCCCTGTGGACACCAAAAAGCTCCCCAAACTCAAGTTTAAACTTTACCACCGGTCAAGCACCTGTGGCTATTCATGGGAGAGAGTTCCAAAATCTCCTCCAAGATTGTCCACCACCAACAGTGGTTGGGCAGCAGTACCCCTGAGCAAGCTGGTACAGTCCCCAAAGACATTACCACTAGACTAACCAATGGGACAGAAACATCCACCTGACCTCGTCCTCACCAATCTACCTGTCACAGATGCATCTGACCTTGACAGTGTCAAAAGATGTGAGTACTGTGCAGTCATTACAGAGAGAAAGACCCGTCTTCACGGATACGTTCCATCGTGTTGTGTGGCACTATCACCGTGCTAAATGGGGCAAACTTTGAACAGATCTAGCCACCCAAGACTGGGCATCCATGAGGCGCTGTGGGCCATCATCAGCAGCAGAATTGTACTCCAGCACATTCTGTAACCTCATGGCCCGGCATATCCCCCACTCAACCATTACCATCAAGCCAGGGGATCAGTCCTGTTCATTGGAGAGTGCAGGAGGGCATGCCAGGAGCAGCACCAGGCATACCTGAAGATGAGGTACCAACCTGGTGAAGCCACCAAACAGGACGACTTGCACACCAAACAGCAAAAGCAGCAAGAGATAGACAGAGCTAAGCGATCCCACAACCAACTGGTCATATCTAAGCTCTGCAGTCCTGTCACATGGTGAATGGTAGTGGACAATTAAACATCTCACTGGAGGAGGAGGCTCCACAAATATCCCCATCCTCAATGATGGAAGAGCCCAGCACATCAGGGCAAAAGATAAGGCTGAAGCATTCGCAGCAATCTTCAGCCAGAAGTGCTGAATGGATGATCCATCTCGGCCTCCTCCAGTGATCCCCAGCGTTACAGATACCAGTCTTCAGCCAATTCGATTCACTCCACGTGATATCAAGAAACGGTTGGAGACACTGGATACTGCAAAGGCTACGGGCCCTGACAACATTCTGCCAATAGTTCTGTTGAGTTCTGCTCCACAACTCGCCACTCCCCTAGCCAAGCTGTTCCAGTACAGTTACAACACAGGTATCTACCCGACAATGTGGCAAATTGCCCAAGTATGTCCTGTACACAAAAAGCAGGACTGTCCAACTACTGCCCATCAGTCTCCTCTCGATTCAGGGGAAGTTAATTAGATTATCTCCTAGAAACATTGAAAATAGGAGCAGGAATGGGCTATTTGGCCCTTTGAGTCTGCTCTGCCAATCAATATGATCATGGCTGATCGTCGAATTCAGTCTCTGTTCTCACTTTCTGCCCATACCCTTTGATCCCTTTAGCTTTGAGAATGAGACAGCATCTTCCAAAATCCAAGTCAACTTCCATCTGGAAGGAAAGGGCAGCAGATACATGGGAACGCCAACCACTGCAAGTTTCTCTCCAAGCCACTCACCATCTCAACTTTGAAATATATCTCCGTTCCTTCAGTGTGGCTGGGTCAAAATCCTGGAACTTCCAGCCTAAGGGCATTGTGGGTCTATCTACAGCAGTGGTTCAAGAAGGCAGCTCACCGCCACTTTCTCAAGGGCAACTAGGGATGGGCAATAAATACTGGACTGGCCAGCGATGCCCGTGTCCCATGAAGGAATGTTTTAACATTAAGAACTATAGACCATAAGGAAGCCAATCATCCCATATCAAGGAATCTCTCCACCACTTTCTCAAGGGCTCACATCCTACAATTGAATACAAATAATCCTTCCTAAGATGTTGTGTCTGGACCCACT